AAAACTGGTGTTATGAATCAATACTTTATTCTATATTTAGCAATTCCAAAATATGTTGACCTGCTCATTTTCAATTACTTTTTCAACTATATGTTCCCATCAATTTTTTTTTGATAATTTTTACAGATGTTCCAGTGAAGCATTTTTGCAGCTGTGTTATATTGCTGCTTGTAATCAAATTGTCCATTTTTTTGGATAAGTGTATATTTTCTATAGTTTCTTCTGCTTTTTTGCACTTTGGATTATTTGATGATTTTTCAGTTCTGGCATTTATTACATTAGTTCAAATAGTTGGTTCTCGTGCAGCCAAAATCAAGCCTTCCATTTCTTTTTTTAATGCTGTGAGTCATTACCAGGTTTCATCTTTACCCATTTTCCTCTCAATATTTTGTAGAAATTGACCATGTCATGCTTTTTCTTCTGTTTATGCTGTTATCACATTATTTCAATGCTTACTTGTTGTTTCTTGTACATTTAGTAAGTTCCAGTTTTTAACTTGCATCAATACTTTTTCTTGGCTGCTTTTATATAATCAGCCAGTGCAGGTTTTTCTTCTTTGACAATTTGTATGACTTGAAGAAAACCTTTGCCTCCATTTCTTCGGGGCAAATATAATCTATCATATCCCCATATAATATCCCCATTATATGGGGATATAATACATAATGAATAGTCATTAGTTTGTTGTTGATTTTGTTGTTGTTATTGTCCAGTTCAGCTTTTATCCATTTAATAATTTTAGCAGTATATCATATCACAGGTATGGTCCAAACATTGGTGACTTTGATGATGTTTCCACCATTCTTGCCTTTAGTAATGTTCTCACTCTTTGGATGTATACTTTATGAATCATCTTTTCAGTTTGTCCATGCTTGATGTTATCCAAGTATAAAATGCCCATTTACTTGTTACTCACAGGTAATATAACCAACTCCTGGCTTATGGGAATTTCCATTGAAGTTTTCAGTGATGAGGTTAAGTAGAACATCTTATAAAGGAAGAAACCTGAACTACAAGTATAAAAAGTAAACAAGTAAATGACAAGTTGTAAACTACAATTACAAGTAAAACCCCAGTCTGCATCAAGACCTGGACTTTGCTGTAGTAGTGAGCATGTAGTATATTACAACGTTTTGAAAATGAGTTGTTTTCCTTTGTTCTCTCCCTCTCTACATTGTTTCTAATGTATCAGTATCAAGAAACATTGTTCTGGAGCGATCTGGGCATATATCACTTTTTAAAAAATACTGGGAATAAAGCTGGTGTTGTTTGCCCTTTCCCTTTTTTGCAGCAGTATTACCATTTAGAGGAGCATGCGGTGTATTGTTTTTTTACATTGGCCTCATCTGTTCATACGCAGTTGGAAGATACTAAATCAAAATGGAGGGGGAGTATTATGACTTTCATCACTTTCTCAGTGTTTGCATTCTATAATTCTGTTCCCCATAAGAAGCTTTTTCTACTTTTGTCAGCATTAAGAGAAACTGCAGTTATCTGTAAGCTATCTATTCCCATGGTGAGCAGTAATAGAAATCAGGAATCACACAGTGTTGTAGAATCACCTGAAGGTTTAATTTTGCTTGGTCTTTTTACTCTAATTTAAAATGTATTGTATCGTATTTTATTATCTCCTTCCCACTCCTCCCACTAAGATTTCATTGTTTGCCTCACAGCATTTCAACTGCTTATATCTACCAGCAATTACAAATGTAACTAGATACCTTGGGAATGTTGATAAGGACAAGAAATTTTCAAAGTCTGAGCACAGTACCAATGACCCTGTCCCAAAACTGTGTATGTTGTGCAGTGATTTTAAATTACCCTAGAGTCTATTGTTCAGTCTTGTGATGGTTGCTTTTAGCCTGATTACAAAGATAGAGAAAGAGTAACTAGGTTACTTAAAGTCTAAAATATAACACAGTTATACAAGCAACTGTTTAAAATGTCTCAGTAAAAGAGAGTTGACCATCTTCTGAATTTGGGCTTGTGATTATTCCCTCTCCAAAGGGAGCATGGTAGGAAATGGTGAAAGAACCATCAGCTTCTTGGTTTCCTTTGCACTAGTTCAGGGGTATCAAACTCGCAACGTCACGTGATGTATCGTTACGTATCGCTACGTATCACAACTTTTTCCCCATTGCCGGAGTTGGGGTGGGCACGGTTTCTGCATGATGCATCCGGCCGATGGGCAGGCAGTTTGACATCCCTGCACTAGTTGGACAGAACTAAAGTAAATGCTACCATCTCACAGACTCAGCCAACATATGTCATGTGCTAGTACTACATAAGGAGAGGCAATTGATATTAGAAGTGAAGGCTGGGATTAGCAAACTCAGCCAATATGTTAAGCATCTGCCAATCTATACTTTTAAAAATGCAAAAAAAAAAATAATAATGTGATAATAAAATGATAAGATTTAGGTTTGTGTTTCCTGAATTCTGGAAACATCAGAGTCCATGTATATTTAATAACTGGCACTCTTGCCCAGAAATTGAGTGATAATATCAACATTTAAAACTGAGTTTGTACATTATATATACCTGTCAGCTTAAACTGTTTAGCCATCTTTGGATTTTGAGATGAGCATCAAAGCAAATGCTTAGATCATGAGGCTTCAAAAGGCAATGCATTCAAGACAAAGCTGATGTTTTATCAACCTTATTTGAATAAGCTGAAAGAACCTGTTTCACCTTGGAATGTATAACTTGGGTAATTGCCTTTCATCTCCGTAGAAGCTAGATGGGAATATTGCTTGGTGAATGCTGCTGGTTCATTCACATGAAAATGCTGGTGTATTCACTTGCATGAACCAGCCAACAGAATGAACCCTTCCCTGTAGATTTTTCTCTGCAATGAGGTAGATGATAGATAGGAAAACCTTTATTTGATCTGCATATCTATGACACCAATCAAATACCTCTTGGATTAATACACAGGTTTAAAATTTATCTTGTCACCCCACACTTCTTTTATCATTTGAAATGCAGATTCCTTGGCAGATGGGAATGAAGCCCCCACTCCACCCTTTTATTTAGCTTTAGAACTCCAAACCCATTACTGCCAACATTGTGCATCAAGCAATGAGTTATGGTGATACAATTTCCATATTGTGAAATTAAACTATCTACTAAAATATATGCATTCTCTGTGGTAAGCAAACTACAGTTGCTTTAGTTAAAGGAAAATACTTGCCCTGTAAAACAAAAAAAAGAGCCAGTTTAGTGTTGTAATTAAGGCAGCAAGCTAGAAATCAGGACTGTGACTTCTAGTCCAGCCTTAGGCATGAACTCAGCTGAGTGAGGTTGATCCAGTCACTCTCTCTCAGCCCTAAGAAGCCCACAAGGGCAAACCACTTCCAAAAACCCTTGCAAAGAAAATTTCAGGGACTAGTCCAGAGGATCTCCAGGAGTCAAAAATGATTCGTAGCCTCACTCTTCACACTGTATCTGGTCACATTTTTCAGTTTTCAAAATTGAAAAAGGAATGGGAAAAATTCTGCCCCCCCCCCCAATGCATTGGAAAAATCTGCCTACCAAATGTGCGCCTTACCGAGGCGGGGATCATAATTTTATGCATCTTTTTCTTTCCCTTTTCATTTGAAGCCTTGTACAAAATTTGGCATGAACTGCCTTATGAGATCATCTAAACAGACACAGCATGTTTATAGAAATACTGGTTTATTGGTCCTTGACAGATTGCACACCATCCTGGGATAGTCTTTGATACTGAAACTCTTTTGTGGATTCCTAGTTCTGATTTTAAATGTATTGTTATTTCAATGGTCTCGTGCTAGCATTAAAATATTTCATTGATAAAATATGTTCTGGTTAGTACAAATACTAAAAATTGACCTATGAATGTTAAGACAAATGAAACACAGAAATTGTTTACCTAAATTATACCATGAATTAATATAATTAAGTAATAGAATTCCAGTGTAATACCCATTTAATTAATTCATAGAATTCACATTTAATAAAATTACCACTGCTCTATTGATCATGTCAGTTATTAGTAGAATTGTACCATGTTGGAGAAAAATGGTTTGAAAGTCTATATTTAAATCATGAGTGTTCCAAAGAAAATGAGAAAAGGAATTCTAATAATTTTATTTACACAGCATCTGTTGAGAATGTTCTTAATATTTCACTTCTCTATAATCCTCACAACTGCATCAAAGCAGAGAGACAAGCATTATTTATTCCTACATTAATTTTCAGACATCAGCAGAACTGAGAAAATAACACACTGAATAATGCCATTGATGAAATATTAAAGTTGGCAAAGAGATTCTGGTTCATTTTTAACTATTGTATAACATAATTTCTTGGAACAAAGTTGCTAAAGAGTGGTAAGGTACAAATTAATAAAATTGAAGCACTTATGTACATTTCTTGATCTACAATTGCCCACAACAGATCCAGTGGTGCAGTAACCCACCTATCACAGAGGTACAGAGTAGAATTCAACTGATTCATTTTCACCTCACAATGAAGTGGACTAATCAAGAACTCCCATAATGCATAATATGTCTCATAAAGTCATGTGGGATTTACAAAACTATGACCAGGTTCATTTACAACATTAAATTATAATATGGGCTTCTTTGGTTTTGCACATGATATCCAAATTCTTTACATTATATGTGAACTGGGCCACTATTGCTAGTTTAATTTTTTTTTTTATTATCTATAAAAATTACCAAATCTATAGTGCAGTGCACTTTGAGGTGTGTATATATTGATTGTCCAAATTTCTCAGCCTCTTGATATAAAATACAATGTGTTATTTTACATTTTATTTCCATAGCTGTAAGCTTTAGACAAATTTGTTTAAAATTTCAGTCCTCGTTCTCAATGGTATTGCTATAGAAACTTATCTTTTCTATATAGGTAGATTATATAGAAAGAAAAGTCACAATGGTAACTTTAATAGTATTTTTATGGCTGGAATTCTTCTGAAGATGGAAAACTGAAATTAGGTAGATAAGGCCACTTACCCAGATGATGTCCTCCTGTCTGTACTGCTTCCAGTTGCGACCTGTATCACTGAACATTAGACTGTAGCTTGTGGTCCAGTCTGAGCTTCCATATCTACCCTGAGTAGCAATGCCTGTAATCTCTACTCTGTCTCCCAAATCAACTTGGAGCCATTGTTCCTTGGTGGAATCCAAAGGGGACCAGCCACCAGCTCCTGAAAGAAAAGATAACCCAGAATTATTTGTCTGAAATGGTATAGAGTTTCCTGCCTGAGCAGGGGGTTGGACCTCCAAGGTCCCTTCCAACTTTATTATTATTATTGTTATTTGATTCTGGTATTTCTCCATCTCCTTTTTATGAGTGGTCCGTCTGCTAGTAAAATGTTCTGGAGAATGTACTGTTAGCCAGAAATTTCTTCCCTTTTTCCTGATTTCCATTTCTCAGAAACATATCCTCATATAGGCCATAGAGGCTTGCCATAAAAAGGCCCATTCTAGCTGGAAAATTCATCATCGCTTCTCACCTTGTTTCTACAGATACATCTAGTCCCAAATAGTAATTTATGACTGATGTTTGTGTGTGTGTAGTCTGTGTATGTTAACTCCCTTAATGCTTTTTTTTCTCGTTATCCTCATAAGTGCTGAGGAATCTTGTTTACCAGATATGGACAGCTAAATTCTGTTTGGAATCTAGATCAGGCATGAGGAATACAGGTGAAACTCAATTACTACTCAAATTTGGATGCAGTTCCACAATAAGATATTATTAGACATATATGTGTTTGTGCATATACGTGAATGCAGTGGGTACAGAAATGCATACATTTATGAAAGTAAATAAAACTCTGCTTTATACAAGTATACAGTATACATGCACACACATGTGCATGCACATATATCTCCTCATGACACATGTACATATATTTTATATGAACTTTTTTTTTAAAAAAAAATCCCAAAATACCAATGACATGGAATAAACTGAATTTAAGATTGGACATTGAGAAAACTTACTATTTTTTTCTTATGTAAAGCTTCCAGCATTTAGATTTATTTTAGAATATACAATATATTTTTATAAAACACAGTCTCCAGTGTGTTAAGTTTGGAATTGAAAGAACAAGCAAGGAAGACATGCTACTTGTGGTTAGAGATTAGAATGTCAAAGTGAGAAATATTAAGGAAAAAAACATGATGGACTGTAAAACAGAAGAAGGGCTTATCAAATTTTCACCAATCCAAGGTTTTCTTTTTTACTAACATAGTCTACATAATCAAATGATGCCTACATAGATAGACTTCATAGAAGCCAAACTGTCTATAATATTATTGATAAAAGGAGTTGTAAGAACTCAGTTATAAGAGCAAAGATGTAGCTGAGGATCAACTGTAGAACAGATCACAAATTGTTCATACGCAAGTTTCAAATTAAACTAAAGTGAAAGAAAAAGGCCAATTAGTTTCCGCAATGTGATCTTGATCATATACCAACATTTTCAAAGAGATCAACAGGAATCATTTTGAAAGTTCTGAACCTCATTGAAGGAGGAAGTGTGGAATTAATTTAAATAAGTTGTTAAGGATGAATGTGAAAGCAGATTAGAAGAGATCAAGAAACAGAAGAAAGCTAATTAGATATCAGAAAAAAGGTAGCTATTGTCAAAAAAAAAAAGAGGCATCAAAGCCAAGACTGTTAAAGATCTCAGGAAGCAACTCAATTTCAGAGAATTGTTAAAAGAGACAAAAAACACTATTACAACAAAATCTATAAAGACATCAAAGATAAAAACAGATATGGAAAAAGGGGCGTTGTCTTACCTGAACGCCTTTTTTCAGCACAGAGATGGAGAATCCACCAATGAGTTAGCTCTGTTTTCCTGCCCATTAGACCAAGTCAGCCAAACTTGCCACACCTGTCCTAGGCTAAGTCACACCCAGTCTTGACAAGGGTGAAAGCAGCTGATGACAGTCCGACGTATTGGCTCCCAGACCCCTAATATGGCCTAACTGACCTTAAGGGTGGGAGTGGATTCTCCATCTCCATGCTGAGAAAAGGCGTTCAGGTAAGACAACGCCCCTTCTCCAGCACCGGAGATGGAGAATCCACCAATGGGACATACCAAAGCCTCACTGTCCCAATGGGGGGGAACAGAGGAGGCCGGAGCCACGTCCCCAGTAACCACCTGCTGAAGGACCCACCTTCCAAAGGAAGCGTCCGCAGATGCAAATCAGTCTATCTTATAATGCCGTACAAATGGGGAAGGCAAAGACCATGTTGCCACCCTGCAAACCTCCTCGATAGAGGACTGTGTGGCCCATGCTGCAGAGTCACAGCATTGCAAGTAGAATGTGCCGTGACATGACGTGGCACTGGCAGGGAAAGTGACCGGTACACCTCCGCAATGCAAGCCTTGATCCACCTGCCTATGGTTGAGGCGGACATCCTCTGTCCACTAGAGGCATGGTGAAAGGAAACAAAGAGGGCTTCAGACTTGCGGAAGGGCGCCATTCACTTGATATAGTAGTGTAACGCCCTGCGAACGTCCAAGGTATGGGATGGATTAGGGCAAAACTCCAGCAAAATGATTTCTTGGGCCCTATGAAAAAGGGTGTTGATCTTAGGAATGAAGGTAGGATCCAATTGGAGAACCACCCAGATTTGGTGAAAGGTGCAGAAGTCCTCCCTGACTGACAGTGCCGCAAGATAAGAGATGCGCTTGGCTGACATGATAGTGACCAGGAAGGTGACCTTGAGAGACAAAGACCTCAGAGTACAAGTTCTGATAGGCTCAAATGGAAAAGTCTTCCAAATGATATCAGAACTGAAGACATTCCAACCTCGAATTGGTATGCTGATGAATGCCAATGGACAGATATCATAGTTAATCTATAGCTTTAACTCTGTGTCTGTAATAAAATATTGACCAATTAGTCTATAGCAGGGGTGTCAAATTTGCAATGTCACGTGATGTGTCGCAACATGTCACGACTTTTTCCGCATTGCTGGAGCTGGGTGGGCGCAGTTTCAGCATGACGTATCCGGCCCGCGGGCTGGCAATTTGGTCTATAGCATCAAAACCAAACAAACAGTAATCTGATAGCATCTTTTCTGATTAATAAATTTTAGTGAAAAGCATAAGCTTTTATTTCACCATAGGAACAGACAGCAGTAAATCCAAAGAAGATCGAAGTGAATACTGAAATATATACTGAAATTTTATACAATAGAGATTTCAACATTCAAACTACCTTATAAGATATTTAGTAAGAGAACCAAAATTAGATGTATACTCTTGTCATATCAGGTCAGAAGATTACAAGAATTGTTGGAATATTTTCAAAATCATGGGAAGGAACAGAAAAGTGATTGTTAAGGTTATGCTCAAGTTATGCTAATAAATCTGGAGCATGACATAGTGGCCAACAGGTTTACAATAGTGACCAACAATCTACAATACCAACCTCAAAAAGACAAGACGTAAGAGAGAGTGCAAGGTATAATACAGTATCTTTGATTATACCTGCAAGCAAAATAATGTTTAGGAAGGTCCAGTGCAGATCAGACAGACTTCAGTCTTAGAGGTGACAATGAGGACACTGAGGTGGTGAACAGTTTCTAGCTGTTAAGGTGGTGAACAGTTTCTACCTGTTAGGATAAACTATCAATAGAAAAGAGCCAGCAGTCAAGAAGTATTCCATAACCCAATGAAGTTCTTGGTAGAGTAGCAATGCAGGCCTTTGAAAAGAGAGATTCAGATACTGTGATGTGTCTATACCTACAAATATCAGAACTGTGCAGGCTTGCCCTGTGACACACTATGGAAGAAAAAGTTGAAGTTTGAAGAAGCATCAGTTTGAATTACAGCATCAATGGATGCACCTTTGGAAGATCTGAAAGATCAAGTTTGGGATAGTTTCACCTAGCCAAATTCTAATTATGTGGTTTCTAAGCACTGACATCAACTTAATCACATTGCACCCATGCCAGAGGCACTGAAGCACTTCCGGGTTGAAAGGATTAGCCGGTGATATCACTATTGTTTTGGGATTGCCAAGTTGGGGGCTCCTTTCATGTCCCTGGCAAGAGCTGGAATGAAGGATGGGAGCTCACCCCACCCCACAGCAGCATTCAGGTCTCAAACATAAGCTTTCTGCTTGTCAAGCCAGTGTCTAACCACATAAGCCACCATGCTCCTCCCTCAACTTAATAGCAATCAATTTGCATTTGTTTACAAAGTTACTTACAACTTTCTTTTTTTAAAAAAATAATAGATATAAGAGGGGGGTGCACTCTAAAATCAGTGGTGGGATTCAGCTGGTTCGCACCACTGCAGCAGAACCAGTAGCTAATTTTTTGTTGTCCAGACCCAGAACGGGCTTCCGGAAGTGGCATCCACACAGAGAATCGGTTGTTCACATATCTGAATTCCACTACTATCTAAAATGCTCAAATTGCAGAAACAGATAAAATGCTAAGTATTGTAAGAGTATATATATTCTACAATCTTGTTGTTATTTTGCTCAATTACTATAGAAAGAATTAAAGGCAAGTTTATATTTTTTCTTTTCCTCACAAGTATTTTATTGAATTTTCTCTCCCTGAGAGAAGCAGGGAATCTCTCACAAAAATATTTGCTGAATATTTTGACTTGCTCAAAGAATGCTATACTTTCTTTCTTGCCATATGTTTCAGCATTCCCTTGTGATATATAAACTCCAGAGAGCATATGCCAGTTTTTGAGGCCCAGGAAAACGAAAGTTTATTACTACAACATTAACTGTAGCATGTAGCAGCAATAAGATAGAAACAGGTTCAAAGTCCAGACTGAACATTACACAAAATACATATTTCAATTACTTGATTCCCTTATTAATAACTGTTCAGCAATTTGGTTTTATTGTTCTGCTTAGATTCCCCATGTCCATTGTCTGCAATATTCTCAAATCTCCTAGAAAACTACAGTACTTATTTACAAGGCACAAAAACACAAATTCTGCCAGAGATTCATGTTCAATGCTCACTACTAGTTGGATGTTTTGTGTGGTCTGAGAGATGTCAATTTTTAATGATGATATGTTTCTTATCTGAAATATAACCATAAAACCCACTCTAGCATGTTTGAGACAAAGAGACAATGTTTTTGATTTTTAGGATTCAACTACAGGATGCACAAAGAAATGCAAATAAGACTTGCAGAGACCAAGATAGGTGTTA